TAGACATTGATGATGGAACGCTATTTCATATCGTTTTCGGTGTTAGAACAACAAAGACATCGCCATCGATTGTCTAAACTAACACTTTCTAAATTTTTGAAGTATGTTATTATAAATCAATCTCATATAAGTCTTTCCTCACAATTTCTTGAGTTTATGTAATTTTATTTTCCTACTATTCAGTAATCCATCAAAAATTATCTCAGCATTAAGTAGTGTCTGACGAAAAAGAAGACATGTATTTTATAAGCTAAAAATAAAGTGGTACATAAAAAAGCAATAAAGATAAATCGAATTTTTATTCATAAAAATATGCTCCTCTCAAACAGCCGCTTATACATATTAGTCTTGACGTATGCGAAAACACTTTTACTTTGTGACATATCGGCGTAATACGTCAGAAGAATGCGAAATAGGCTGGAAAGATCAAACAGAAATAAAGAAAGAAAAAGTTTTTTCTATACCGGCAATATTTTATCTATACGAGTTTTTGAGATGCTCGAGGAGCATCGCCGTGTTTTATATATTACCGTTCTTTTTCGGTACTCGGGAGATAAATGTATGCAAAATGAATTTAAAAAGAATGCCCAAAAATATTTTACATGGAACGTTGAAGAATTCATCTTCTTCGATATACAAATTCCAGCGTTTTACCGCAACTGCTAAAAAATTATGAGCATAATCGTAAATCAATCTTTTAAGAATTTCGCTATTTTTGTATTTTTATAATAAATTGAACAGATTAGTTAAAATTTTGATGTACGCCTGTATAGATATGTCTTCAAGATATTTGTTCTGAATACGGAAGTTCTGAAGCATCTTTGCTTCATATTGCAATTAATTCTGCATCCAAAGAGTTGGAAGGTACATATTTCTCTAAAATATTACTTAAGTGTAAAAAGTTACTTTCCACTTCCTATAACCCAACCAGAAAATCTGTCGAATTAACTTATATCCAATTTTTTGTAAAATACATTAATTCGAAAAAATGTTTTGTTTCGAGGACATTTTGATTTTTTTTTCATCAAAATATAGTTTTGATCGTTTTATCTATCTTTTACTATTAAATCGTGCTGTAATGTTTCACTCAGTTGCAAGATTATCAGCTTTATTTTTCAATTGATCGAATTGATTTCTTTCATGTACTCGTACTCAGCAAAATTTACATAAATTTGTTATACAAAATCAAAAGAGTTGCTTATCTCAGAGATATTTCTTACACTGCCATTTGTGACGAAATTGAGATTCTTAGCAGAATGATTATTTTTTGTGGAAAGAAGTAAGGAAATGAACAAAAATAGTTTCATAATCCAGTTAGTAATGTTCATCAATTAGAATAATGAGAAAGTAAGCATATGTGTATTTGTAGCAAATATCTACTCTTTGGATGTAGTTTGTATTTTACACAATGTTTGTAATACACAAATTGTTCAATAGTAATTTGTAAGGCATGCAACAGACCCCTCGCGTGCCCCCTACGGGCCCGGGCCCGTGTTACCAATAGTTACATCACTGTGAATCCCAAATCGCTGTGAATTCCGAATCGCAGTCGCAAATAAAATAAATGTACTGATTTCTTTCGAAACAATTATTAGGTAATCCAAAGGATAAAACACCTCCACTGGAAAGGTCGGGTATTTATGAAATTTCTTGTAAAGATTGTAGTAAGAAATATGTTGGGCAAACTAGAAGATCAATATTAACTAGATTTAAAGAACATTTAGCTCAGATAAGATATGGTAGACCGGATAAATATTGCGTTGCCGAACATATTGTTGATAAAGAACATTGTATAGATCTTAATAATTTAAAATTAATTAAACAAGCCTCAAATTACATGCAATTAGGTGCAGATGACAGCATCAGAATTAATAAATGTAAAGATAGTATGAACAGAGACAACGGCCCAATTCCTTCAAATTCTTTGTTCCTACTACTCTAGTGGCGGAAATCTAACTGTTACGCTCAGTGGGCTCTGACTCGGTTGGCTAGATTTTGCCACGCCCACTCGGTGCCCACTGAGCGAGTATATAAACGCTCAACTTGTAGTTTGTACTTTAGTTTATAATCATCTGCTGATGATGCTAACATGGTTAGCGAAACACGCGTCCAGTGTAAAAGTAAAAGTGTTTTGGTGTATTGTGGTGATTTAGTGTTTTTATTTTGCTATATTTGTGTAATTAAATAAAAATTTGATATATAAAAATAATAATAAATAGTTATTAAATATAGATACAAACACATACAATCAACACTTCAACTATAAAATTATTGACGTTATTACCTTATTTGTGACATATTGTAGAAAAACTATAATTATTGATCATTCTCATTAGTTTCTTTGCTTTTATGCTTCAAAGTTATTTTAATTTAACTATCAATAGTACTTTAAAAGCATTGGTTTCCAAAAAATAAATCTTATTATAAATGATTCGTACTGCTATAAAATAATATAATACACATATTTAAAAAAGAAACAAATATTTTAGATAATATTGACTTTAACGCATAATCGCTTGGAAACTGAACATCCAACAGTTTGGAAAATGTAACGTTTATTGTTTATTCAAGTAGAGCTTTCACTTCAATAAACAAGTTTGTATTGCACTCAATAATTTAGTTAAGCACCGATAAAACCATTAACGCAAACTGCACAGTTTTAAGTTTTATTTATTTCACTGATATTTTGTCATTGTATATTTAAATATAAACAAAACATGTTAACACTAAAAGTTAATATTCATACAAACAGGTGAATTTTGTCTTTAGAATATTGCCATTTGTGTTATTTTTATACTAATAACGATCTGGCCATCAAAACTGCGTGGGCTGGATTTTAACGTGTATTACGTGAAAAGAAACTTTTTTACAAAGCCTACAATGACTTCACCGAATCATTGTTTCTTGTTCACTGTTATTAATATCTTAGTTATAACATATTAAATACATCTGGTATTACGGTATTCTGGTATTTCGGCGATTTTAAAATAAACTAACTGTTTCTATCTTATTTTTTGTAAGAATGGGCATAATCAAGAGGGCTACTGATACCGTATTGTAAAAATAAGGTAATTAAGGGCTTATTTTTTGGTATTTATTATAATTATGCTAATATCTTCGGTTTGAAAGAAGATATCATGATGCGGTTTTCGCTGACTTTTTAAGCTTTTACTACTCTTTACTACCAGCTAAAATTACATATACTCTCGTATTTAATTTTTTTGAAAAATCACGCTATGTTTATTAAATTGTAAGAAAGCGCCCCCTAGCGTCTACGTTCAAAACCTTATTATTATTATTTTTATGGTATAATATAGAGTAAGAAACGCTCTTTTAAACTAACCCTCGTTTGTTGGATTCTGATCATCCAGTCTGGAGTTATTAACATTTATATAAAGACAGATCTAACCTTCCCCCACCACTTTATTTTAGCAGATAGGGGAAAATGGTTCTAACAAAGAAAATCGAAAATTTACTGAATATTATGAAGCTATTATTTATAGTATCCATTGTCTAGGCAAAATTCTATTTTCTTATTTTCCATAGCAGTTTCGCCCCCTAGCGGTTGTTTTACAAACTTGAAAATAATTTCCAGCAATTTCTCATAGCCCCTTTTGTTATAAATATTTTTTTCCGTAAGCCCTACGGCTAATACTTTCCGAGATACAGCCGAGAGCTGTTCTTATTGAGACACCCGGTACATTATAATAAAAGCTTTTAATATCTGTACTTGAAATTGTTTTTATTACTTCCGAAAATATAAAATGATTAAATATTTATACAAGTTAAACTGGCATATTGTATAAATTTGTAGAAAATGTTATAGTTTATTATATTAGACAGAAAAATATCAGATAAACAAAAATTAAATTGAATTGAAATAGAAGCGTATTTTATGCATAAAAAAGAAGTCAATTTAGGCAATCGTTTCACGGAGGCAGGCCATAAATACCGCTATGACATTCCCCCAACTACATTGAAATACTGCATGTGGCTAGAAAGTCTCTGAAACATACTGGAGTATATTGAAAAATATAGCACAAAAACAATATTATTATATCGAATCTGTTTCTATAAAACGAATCTATTTCTATAAAACTATGAAAGATTTTAAACATTAGTTATTGCCATAATTTTATTGCTTGGAAATGTAATGTATAATAACTAGTTAATTGATTTATAATATAAACGAACACAAAAGTAGAGTTCTATTTCTGATAATACTTTTTAGATAAGAAAAGAAACATAAAATCATAAAACAATATAATTTCCCACACAAAAATTAGGACCTTCTCGCATAAAGTTTTTATAATATTGAATAGTAAAATTCCACTAACAAAACAGTGACAACTAAATTATTTTAATACATAACACACAGTGGCGCATCTAGAGATTGTGTCTGGGAGATGAATAGTGGTAATCATTAAATAAAGTGCTAAATTTAAATTATATTTGCTGAAAGGTATTGTGGCTGTGGAAAGAAATATTCTTTGAATGGTTTGGATTTTCTATTTTAATTGGTATTATTAACTTCTTTTGCAACACTTTTATTATATAACACATTTTATCTTATTCATAAATTTCTTCATGGGAGGGGTAATTACTCCCATTACCCCTCCCGTATATGCGCCTTTGGTAACAGTCAAAGTCAAACATTTTCTCTAATAATTAAATCCTAAAATATATATATATATATATATATATATATATATATATATATATATATATATATATATATATATATATATATATATATATATATATATATATATATATATATATATATATATATATATATATATATATATATATATATATATATATATATATATATATATATATATATATATATTATATATATATATATATATATATATATATATATATATATATATATATATATATATATATATATATATATATAATTACCTTCATATCGCTCTATGTGATTATAAATTAAAATAATAATTGTAAAAATATATTAAAATTTCTTTACTTACGTTACTAGATCATCTTCATTATACATTATTGGTGGATGTTGGTGCACAAATTTTTCCTCAACTGGAATACCGTTTATGTACCATGTTAAATTCGCTGGTGGATGTGATCCTTCTGAAGTACAGTTGGCTTTCAGGGCGTCTTCCGGTTTATATCTGGTCTTCAATCCAGTTATATATGGGTCTTTCTTCGGTAAATCGATGACCTAAATCATAATAAGAAGTAATTGGTGTTTGTATATATACAGTATGAAATTATATTAGAAATAATATTATAATTTTCTTCCCATAATTAATGTATTAAAAAAAGAGTACATTATCTATATGAGTTTCTATTACACAGACCATACAATTTTTTTCTTGCTTTGTTCTTTTTTGAAAGTTATGCTAAAAGCATATCTTTCTTCTAAAGGGCAGGCTTAAAATTATTAAATAATAAATTATCGAAAATTTTTCCGTTTAGTGTTAACATTTCGTTTTTTCCCATTTTAAGCATCAAAAAATAGGACAAAGTATATAGTGAATATATTGATTGATTTTAAGTGGGACATAAAATTGGATATTGGTTATTCACACATATATTATATTAAAGAGAATGGACAATTTGATACCTCTTTTAAATTCTTTTAAAATTCTTATTAGCAGCGTATTGTTTTTTTTTTCTCCTTAGCCTATCTTTCTTCTTAGCCTATCACCTGTCTAAATTATTAGAGAAAAAGAGAGAGACTCAATTGGGTATCCCCTTTTATAAAAGTATATTTTATATAAAAAATTGGTGAAATTTGATAGCCATCTTTAATATGCTATTTTTGGTGATACTAATTTAAACTCACTTAAAACTATTTAATTTAAATTTTAACGACTGTTTCAGAGCAAATATTAAAAAGAACATAAAGGCTGTTAAAAGTAGAACAAAATAAAATGGTAACTCTATATAATTAACTAATTAAATTTTATTAATAGGCATTAGTATATAGAAGTTTTGTAATATTTTAGCCAACTGTATAATTATAAATATTCAGAAACTAAGTTGCGAAGTTTCCTGTAAAATAATAAGTAATTGTCGCGTGCTGTTTGTAATTAATACTTTGTACAAACAAGGTATATATGAACTTTATTTATAGATCATGGAAATGGATTATAAGATTTATTCAAAAAATAGACGCAACAACGATAAAATATTTTTAGTTTAATACAAACTTCTGAACAAAATAAATTAACAGAAGTATAAAAACTGTCACACGTAATATAGTAGGTACTTATTAAACGTAAAGAGACGTAAAAGTGTTAAAAGAAACAAAATGTAGAACAATATACGTATAATTTATTTGGCAAAACTATCTACTAACATCATCAATAAACCAAAAAAACAAGCTTTGTTGTTTAATTTTACACTAGTTCACGTAAAGTATAATATTGAACAATTAATTCTGGAGTATTATAACTCAAAATAACAAATCATTTATTTCTTTGGCATCAATTAAAATAAATAATCAAAATGGCCTTCCTAAATTTTTAATTACTAGAAAAAATAGTACAATCAGTATAAAAAAGTATTTGAAAGTTTATAAGTTAAGATCTTTAGAACACAAAGTATAGCAAAAAAGAACATGCCTATCGTAAAAAAATAAATTATGGGAAAATCGCAATAAAATAATCTACCAAGTGAACAAAGTTTTGTCACATTTAGGGAACGTTAGGAAACAGTTACGTATCTGCGTTTTATTGCTTCATATTAGGCATAATATATGCGTGGTAACGTAACAACGACGTCACCTAGAACACGTTTCCCTTAAAGGAATAAAATGCTCACTGGGTAAATATCTGAAATTAGACAAATTAGTATAAAATAAGAATAATGTAGTATATACCAAATAAAAAGATACTTTTTTGGTAAAAAAAATTTCATACCATAAAAAAGATAGCATGTTTGATAGCATATATGTAGATAGCATAATAGATATGTAGATAGCATGTCATGTATGCTCATGCATGCATACTCATTCTATGTTTTATATTATCTACAAAATAATTATTCTATTATTTCAGATTTATATTTGATTTTTACTACTCGGTTCAAATAAAATATTGTTATAGTTTTTTAAACTACATCTAAACGTAGACATTTAGTCGAACGAAATTTAATATAAAACAAATTGTCTATCTAGACCCTTTACAAAATAAAATATCAAATAATAAAATTCATAAAATAAAAGATAGATGTTTTTCTTGTGTCTTCATTTTGATATTTATTTTTGTCTTTTATGATATTTTATTGCTTTTATTAAACTTTTTCATCAATGTAATTTTTAAGCCAAGAAATATATTTTTCTTAAAGTTGAAGACAGTATGATCTTGAGCAAAACTCCAATTTTGGACGTACACTTATTATGGTATCTTTTTGTAGTGACGATTCTCTCAGTGAGTGTTTGATTTCTAAAAGGATTCATACTCACTGGAACCTAAACTCACAAACACTAAATTAGAAGGATCCAGTTCAAATAAAATCTATAATATTAGGCTAGCATTTCTAATCTTGGGTGCCGATTTTTGTGTGTACGAAGTATTCGGTCAACACGCTTAGTAAAATAAGATATACTGAATTAAGACAGGATGTAAGTATTTTCCCAAGCGCATGGAATCTAGCGTCAGATTAAGTGGTTATGTAATAAATATTTCGTATTTTCGCTCTCTCCGACTTACTAGATTGCCATAGCGATTCACTCCTATACATGTAAACGCCGAAAGAAAGTTATGAATATTTATAAACTTCAATTGGGATGTCATTAGCATCAAAATTGTCAATGTTTAGCGCCTTTCCATAGTACTGGAAAAATAATACACTCGTATTTTAACATAAATCTAATATTTGATCTTTCAGAAAATCATGGTATATTTCGAGACACAGTATTCGAAACTTTGATATCTATGTTGTCTATTATAAATGTAATTAGGGCTTATCGATTGGTGTGTCGTTCTTGTTGCAACTACGAAATAAGGATATTGGAAACCAGCAACTTCTGCGTTGAATTGCGGAAACATGTTGCCACTATAGACGTGTAAGGAAGGAAATAAAATCGAATTCCACAATCTAGAGTATATCGAGAATTGCCAATAATATCTCTTAAAGGGGTTATTTTCTGAAGTTTTAGTTGGTTCGTTTTCTGTTAGAATAGAATTTACCAGTGGCTAAAAAATATTTTTCAGTAAAAAAAATACTTTGTATATTACAGACTATTAAAACAAATACTATCTAAAATAGATCTATTGAAATAATATATAATTAATACAAATATTGTATGTCAACCTTAGCAATTACAGAATATATAATAGCAAAAATATATGAATTTTGTATTATTGTCGTAAGAGTTTGGAGTTTGGTTCCTGGTTTATAAATTTAGGACAACAAAGAAAACATATTAATAATATATTTTCTTAATATAAATGTAGTATATAATTTCACAACATCAAAATTTCTGGTCGGTAAATTCTCATTTTCTGAAAATAAAACAGTAATTTAGTTGAAAAGCTTTTCGCTGTTAAAATGCCTTTTATTATCAAAAATTTACCTTTATTTACTGAGACTAAAAATGCTTTATAACTTAGCTTTCTTTATAAAGAATGGAATACTATTCTTAAATCTTTATTATACCGGGTGACACCAAAACCGTTGCACAGATCGTTATTTAATTGTCCTTATGTTTTCTCCTACTAATTTAAATATGGTTCCAAAATGTAGTTTATCAAAATTCATATTTTCCATTAGAAATGATTAAACATCACTTCAGGTTTAATCGCAAGTAGACCCAAACCTTCTGTATGAATTTTGAATATTTACATAGAGTATATAATCTCTTTTTTAACCATGTAGTACAGGTTGATAATATTTTTCAAATTAGCCGCGTAAAGTAAGTAGTTTAAAGTTAGTTAATGCAATGTGTTTCTGTTTAAAATTTCAAAGTAATATTAAAATATTAGGAATATTTTAAATTCATTTCAATAAGGCACTTCATTAGATATTCTTTATTTCATGAAAAAAGGCATAGAATATTGTCACCATAGGTAGTACTCAGAATTAGTCATAAAATATCCATAAAGTTTACATATGTCAAAAGTGTACATATGATATGTCATTCAATACAAGGGTGTGATTTAAAAATCAAAAGTGGTAGTAATTTCCGGTGAAACAGGAAGTGACCGAAAACAATTGAATACGTCTATCAATCCTGATTTATGTCATATACTAACATACCAAATCTCGTTTTTTTTTATCTAAAAGAATAAAAACGTTATACGGGTGAGTCACTTTTGAGAAACACCAGGTATACTCAGAGTATTTTTGTAATATAGTCATTCCAAATACATATTTCAATTATAGCACATAACCTAAGTGAAACAATAGTTATTTTTAGTGAAAATATAGATTAAATTTAAAACAAGGATAAGTCGTAAAAACATTTAGGTAAAATTTAGGTAAAATTTTAAATATTACTTTAGAATAAAATTAGAATTACCTTGATTGTTATTCTTCTTTAACAATAAAGAAACGTTGTTAACATATTAAATTAAGATCAATTTTTGTTCTAATATACCAAGTTCTGTTACGCGGAGCATCTAAATACATTTTTCCTTATATTATAAATATACATAGATATTTCATTTGAAATATGATACTACATCAATATATTTTGTAATAAAACCCTGTATTTTTCTCGATCACATACAGTCAATTTATTGCTCGAAGTTTCAGTTTAAAATTAAATGACATGTCTAACGTGTTTTAGTATATATTACAACTCCTATTGATTCACTATTGCAATTTAATACTAGAACGTTAGTTTACTAATATGAACAAAGCGGTGAAAAATATTAGGCCTCTAAGTTTCTTACTTATTAATGAATGAAATTGAAAAACCTTAAAATAAAGAAAATATTAAATATATCAGTTATATTAAAAATATTCTATGATAAATGGTTTCAGCCGGCATTGTACCCTTATAGACAAATAATTCATATTAGAACTAATATCGTATGCTCGCAAAAATGGCGTCAAAGATGTCTGGGGAATGACAATTCATGATAATTTTGGCGAGGTCAATCTCTAAAAGTAATTTACTAAAAATTGACATGTAACTTGTCAAAATTAACATTAATTATAAAAAGACCAAAAAAGGATAGAAAGTTTCCAGGCACACAAATCTATTTCCAAAAAATTATTATTTCTCGAATTTTAAACGACACTATTTAAAAATCATTTTTACTCCGTCGTATGGTATTATAATTTGTTTACATGTCACCACTCAAAGATATCATGTTTTTGAAAAGAGAAAACCTATTAAGGATTTTATAATTCTACTGTAGTTACTAGAACCCGAATTTAAGAAACCTTAAATTATTAATGATTACGCTATATAGTAAATATATTACCTTTAATTCGGCCGTTTGAATATCCGTAAAAAAACTTGGCTGATCTGCTGTCACTTCACAACTAAACGGTCCACTGATTTCTTTACTGACACGCTCTAACACCACTTGCGTATCGCGCGAATCTTTTTCTCTGATATTAAGTCCACGAATTTTGAATTGTTTGATTGGCGGAAACTCGCTGGGGCAATAACGGAAAAACTCCCATCCACCGCGGTACCACTTTACGGAATAGAGTTTATCACTTTCCAAGTCGTAGAAGCATTGCAATGTTGCGTCGTGGCCTCGTACCACAGCTGATGGTATTTTTATGTGGACATTCCTCAGAGCCGTACAAACTGTAACAAAAATAAATTAATTAGAGAAAATAATCTAATACATTGTCACATTTTGTAAAAACAAAATAATTTACTGGTTAATAAATCGATTCTAATGAAAATAATTTGGTTTTAGAGATTAATCTACGACAATGTCATTATGACACATTTAACATTGTCGTTTGGATGTCATTATGGCTTTCATAATAACACGCAAATTTTAAAATAATAAACAAGCAAAAAAAGGTACCTAAACACGTTTATTTATTGTAAACATTAATTATAATATCAGTACAATGGGTTAAATCAATTCCAGACGATGATAGGTGAGTTGAATTTTTAGAAAGTAAATTTATTTCCTGAGTGCTTGAACTTGTTGAAGACCCATCAACACAGCTCTCTGCCACTGTGTTAGAGCGCCAACCACCATATGTTTTAACAGTTAATAAATCCACTCCTGAATCTGCAAGCAACGACGCAGACGATCTACGGAAACAATGTCCAGTGTATTGTTGTGGATTTGGAAGACTTAGGAACAATGCTATTTTATACGGCAGTATTAATGCCAACGGGTTGCTTAATACATTTTCCATTTCTGTACCCCACAAAAAAACGAGTATGCTCTGTGTTGCTAGACCGCATAGCTATATATCTTCGAACCATTTCCACCATATTTATTCCTTCAACATTCCCTTTCGTTAAAAAAAATCTCGTGATATCTTTGTTTTCGTAAATGGAATAATGACATGAATGCATTGTCCTTCATCTTTAACATTTTACAGCTGCAGATTTGTCAACTCGATACGACGCCGACGGCAGGCTCCCGCAAGTCCCACTATCAATGAAACTTTTGTCAGGAAATAAGTTTTATCATCAGCTTCCAACAAAAAACTAGTTATGTCTTATTTTCTTAAAATTCTCGATTTTTTGACAAAAATCCTTCCGATTTTCTTTTTAGAAATGCAATTAAATGGACTTACTAATATCTGTATTTTTCTTCATTGATATAACTGAACGTAGCATGGAATAATATACCCAAAGTGATAAAGCCTTCCTATGTTTTGAATGATGTTCAAAATATGCCAGGAGAACCTTTTCGTTACTACTATTCTTTATTCCTTTACCCTTTACACCAATCTTCAAGTTTTACATAGGCTTGCTCTTACGTTTGTCTTGATTTTTCGGGAAGTAGGGAATCGACAACGTTTTGCGCAATTTAATAAAAGTTTGATGTCAATATGGCTCCTATTTGTAGGGGGTGCCACCTACATGTGTTTAAACTGGTTTGTAGAGTAATAAGTTTTCGTCCGTATCGGTATAAAATTACTGAGTGAAAAAATATACATTCCCGTGATTTTTTACGTAAAAAATGTCTCTTGGTAAAAATTGCTACGAGTAACCGTTCTCAAGATATTTAGAATAGAAATAGTCAATACATGTCATTATTGACAAAAAAGAAACCTGTTTAGTAGATAGTAATTTGACTGAAAATATAAATTTGGGAACTTTTTATTTTTTTTAATTAAAGATAAATGTTTCTTCAAAAAATTATGATAAAAGAGTTTCTGTTGAACTTTTGGCACAAAAACATCAAATTTATGATTTCAGTCTAATAACCATTTAGTAAAATGTTTAACTTAAGTCAATGATGACAGGTATTGATAATTTCAATGCAAAATATCTCGAGAGCCACAACTCGTAGCGTTTTTTACCAAGAAACCTTTTTACGTAGAAAACGTATATTTTTTTGCTCAGTAGTTTTATACAGGTACGGACAAAAAGTTATTACTCTTCAGACCAGTTAATAAATATGTAGGTGGCGCCCTCTACAAGTAGGAGTCATATTGATATCAAAATCAAATTTCTCATGTCAAAAAACTCCCCCTAACCTAACACCAATTTTCATCCAAATATTGACCTTATTTCAGAAACTATTTGAAAAAATTCGAAATAAAAAAGAAATTTCTGCACCCTGTATTTTCGAAACTAAGCATTTTAGGACATACATTTATACGAACTTTTTTACTATTTTTTTATCTACAGAATATGTTGCTAAAGTTTCCGGAATACAGTTTGGACCACCCTGTATATTATTAATTGCATTCATGTAGAAATAAGTATATCATTGACAGAAATCTTTATGGTATTTTCAAACAATTTAATAAAAATTTTGTTGTCCCTCCTAACACCCAATTCAATCTCTTACGTTCGAACTCGACAATCTGAAAATAATAAAAGATTCATTGATGTCTACTTTTATCTGGTCCAATACGTCCATGAAGAAATGTAATATACACCTCCGGCAAATGGATTTTACAGTCAAAGAAAATCGTATTGTGGAAGAAAACAGAGAAAATCTTTTATAAAATATAGAAAAGGCTTTATTGGAAATGTAATTTAATGACTATGTCAGATAAAATTTTCAATAAGCTTTATATCCAATTTATAAAAATCTTACTTTAAAGTCTTCTAAAAAGGCGTCTTGAATAAAAGTAGGAATAAAATTACCATTTCACAGCGTAAACTTCTATAATAGAAAAAGCTGTGAGCATTAAATGAAAGTTAATATAACGTCGGTGTGTTTAAAAAAATCACTAGTCTCGTAATTTCGTAAATCACTATATAAGACAATAAATTATAAGGACCAATAATATTTAGAGGTATGTAGTTGTCTGATAAAAATATATAAATTTTCCTCACTAGATATTAAAGAATACGTGTTTCTGTCTGCCAATTTAGATTCAATGTGAATATTTCTCAACTTTGCATTTCCCTGGTGCAGATATGCATTATTCAGATACCCCGAGCTATTTATTTGTAAATATTAAGTTTGTCAGTCGAATAGAGTACTATTTTATAGACCTTTGGCTTTGTTTGATAAATATACCATTTCGGTGTGAAATATAGATAATAGTAGTCCACTTTCTGAATTGGATATTAAAACATTTCAATAAATGTCTCAATAACTTGAGAAAAACTATTAATGTATTAAACATATTTTTGAAAATGGTTTTTAGTAATAGATAGTTTAACCGGAAATATATTATATTTTCATCTGTTATATTTACATTTTCTTGATTTTTCAAAGATGTAAAATCAAGTGATACTAGAATGTAGAACATTTAGGAGGGGAATTAATCACCGCGACATTACAGATCTATTGTGTTCCACTTTCTTGTGTTATAATGAGCTATAACTCATCATAAAGTCTCAAGGCTTTAATAAAAGCCAATATCTGAGAAGGCTCTACAGGGGCTAGCTGTCCATCCTCGACATAAGGCGTACCAAAATTCATGGCACGAACGGTCGTCGTCTCGGCGCATTCAGTGATAAGGTGTTCTGGTGTTTCCCCATTTTCCCCACAGAATCTGCATTTGCTGTTGTTTCTCAGATTTAGCCTACTGAGGTGTTCGTTGAGGAGACATTGTCATGTTAGAAACTTCGTGACAATCCGAAGATTGTATTTAGTTAAATTAAGGAAAATATTTGATTTTTCCCGGTCGTAAGTTCTGAGGATCTTTTTCGAGTGTCTTAGACCGTCGGAGGACTCCCATTTCAGGTTACGAATGGAGTCTTTCAGGTTCTTCAGTTTCGCTTTTAGTTGATTTTCGCTTAAAAAACAGAACGGTTCTGGTCCAGGTAGTGGAGCGTTTGCTTCTTTTCTAGCTAGATCATTAGCTTTTTCATTGTCTTCTATCCCTTGGTGAGCGGGCACCCAGAGTAGAAGAACTTTATTTTCTTTGCCTAATTTGTTCAGCTTCTCTATGCATTTTTTGACCAATTTAGATAGATAAATACTATTAGAGTGACATTATTTCAGACATAAGCTAAATAAGGTTTGTATAACTGATAAAGAATAATGAAAATGATGAAACGCTGCACATTGAATCAAGACAGAGGTAAAATTATATGGGGAATGTCATCGATGTCTATTTCCAAGCCAACTGGACGCTGTTTATTCGATCACACGGTACTATTTGAGTAAAATTATTTCAGTCATAAAGTTTCTAAATAGTGTTATATACCGGGTGTTTCTCAAAAGTGGCTTACTCTAGGTATTCTTCGAGCAACTTCGAATTGATCGTTACTGAGTTGATGGTAGTTCCTATCTAAGAATTAGCATCTTTCGACAGCGTAGATTTCTGCCTGAAGGATGCTGGGGTACCCATTGATTCAGAGTATTTAGTTTTCAGCTCAAATATTCCTATCCCTGTCCCTGCTTTGGTTTTGGAAGCATCAGTATACCACGTTATGGTATGGTCTTTTACATGCTGAGAAAACGTTTCAAACCTTTCTGAAAACGTTTTTTTCCCCAAATTTTCACTTTTTTTTCAATTTTTTCACAAAACCTTTTTCACTTTTTGTTTAAAATAAAAAAAATTCCAGTAGTTTTTGGTCAAAAGGAAGGATATTTTGCAGCGCCGTAAAAAGATAATTTTTATCGACCACCCTATTATACATAGATAGTAATATAAAAATGTGTTTCCATTATGAGAATTTACTTTTGTCGCGAACATTTTTCCTATGAATATACCCAACAAATTTGTCGTATAAAGTTTAATATAGTCAAATTACAAATTATTTTATTTTCCAGTCGCTGTACCACCTTAACAATTTTGATGTACCTTATTCTAGAATTTACTACTACTTTATATTTTGTTCCTTTAAATTGACAGAACTTTGTAATTATTGCCGATCCACATGAGCCACAAAAATACCGAACCACCTATACGAAAATATCTACCCACTGATAAAATTACGCTTCGTTAAATGAAAGATAAACAACGAATACGTAGATTGTGTTTTTGGAGATTTTTTTCTTTAGGCTCTTTTTTACTATTTTTTTCGTTGGTATAGAGAAATTATATGTTATACATACAATAGACAGAGTTACATACAATACAGGGCTTTTTACAAAACCGATTCATTAAGAGCTTTTTAGCATCTAACATATCAAGAAATAAATCAGTTGTTTTTAATTAAAGGATATAATAAGGTACTTTTCAAAATTAAGCTGCTCTAACGTGGCTTAT